ACCCTGTGACAATATTTTGTATGATGGCCATTGGAAGTAATACATAAACAATTTCCTAAGTCTATAATTTATCATTACATGGATGATATTTTACTAGCTGATTCAAATGCAGATAACTTAGAAAGAATGTTTGAAGAAGTAAAGAAAATTTTGTCTTGTTTGGGATTATAAATTGCTCCTGAAAAGATACAAAGAGGAGATTCTATTAATTATTTAGGATATAAAATAGGTCTACAAAAAATTAGACCCCAAAAGGTGCAAATTAGGAGTGACTGATTACAGACTCTTCATGACTTTCAAAGATTATTCAAAGACATCTCCCATTTACAGACTGTTGTTGGGGTAAAAAATGATGAACTAAGTAATTTGGTCAAAACCTTAGAAAGTGACAAGGACTTAAATAATTCAAGAGAATTATCAGCTGAAGTTGAGAGAGAATTGGCCTTGGTGGAAAAGAAAGTACAGGAAAGACATGTGGATCATATGGATACAAAGCTTGATGATTACATTTTAGTTATTTTACCCTAAAATTCTCCTACAGGAATTTTAATGCAGAGGAAAAATATTATATTGGAATGGATATTTCTACCAAATGATCTTATGCAGTTCAATTAAAAAAATAAAGCTGGCTTTGAAATTGGAGAATGGCTCTCTCCTTCTCTAAACCTAAGCATGTTTGTGAAAAGAAAATACAAAATCTCTGTATCATGTCAGAAGCGCCATCTGATATGGGAAGGAGAAAACCAAAATTAAGGGAATATTCTTTTGCCACTTATCTCAATTCTTTGGTTCTATTTTGATTCTTTAAACCTTTTTAAGGTATGAATTTTATATCAAAATTTATAAGATTAATATGTGTATTTTAAAAAAAAAAAAGCTTGATTTAGCTGCCTATACATGTTTTTGTGTTGGAGACTCTATCAGTTTTCTGCAAGGAATCATAACCAGACCTAACAGTGAATTTGAAGTCTCCAGAAAGATGATGGGGCCCCATAACGATGATTCCACATGGACAATAATAATACCACTAAGCTGACAAACATCACCCAAAGATCAGCTTTAGACTACAAACTGCTCAGGACAATTTCAATATGGCTAGCTGAGATGATCCAGCTTCACAGACTATTCGAGCAAGAACTTCAGATAAACCCTTCACTTTCACATTACGCAAAGACTGGACAACAAATGATATAGTGACCTCTCCCAGAACTTGACAATTAACCAAAAATTTTTCTTTTCAGGATTCCCTAAAGATGCCTTTGCCCACAAACAGCAGGAAGCAATTATAAAACACATGATGCCCATATTCCCAAGAGATGGGGCGGGTGGTTTTTGGTTTTTGGTTTTTCTATGGATTTTGTGTTTGGATAATTGTCATTGTTTAGGATGGTTGGTTACAAGTTGTTATTGTTAATAGTCAGGAAAGAGGTTAAACAAAGGAGATTAGATTTAAGGTTCTTGTTTGAAAAAAAAGAAAAAGAAAAAAGAGTATATAGATAAAAGGTAGACTATTGAATCTACTCTGAAAAAAAAAGATATAGAAATGATAGAATAAAGGGTAGATTATTGAATCTACTCTGAAAAGAAAAAAAGAGGATATAGATATAGATTACTGAATCTACTTGTAAAAGGCAACTACTAGTTTAAAATATTTTACATTGGATTAGATTTTTGTATATTGTATACAAATTATTAGCCGGGTGGTGGTGGCGCACACTTTTAATCCCAGCACTCGGGAGGCAGAGGCAGGCGGATCTTTGTGAGTTCGAGGCCAGCCTGGTCTCCAAAGCGAGTTCCAGGAAAGGCGCAAAGCTATACAGAGAAACCCTGTCTCGAAAAAAAAAAAAAAAAAAATATATATATATATATATATATATATATTGATACAAATTTGAGATTAATTTTGTTACTAAATACTATACATATATTTCTAATCTTGTTCAGGATATTGTACCTATACAGTTTATTTAACAATGAAATGCAATTGGCTAATCCTTGAAAGTTATTATTAGCAACTACTTAGGATATAAAGAAATGAAAGTTAGTAGTTATACATTACAATCGAACTTGTAGTCATATTAGTTATGTTTTCAAGGTCATGCAGATATATTTTAGATAGATAGGTCATCTTCAAATCTTTCAGAGACCTACAGACTATGGCATTTAAAATGTTTTAATAACATAGATTTTTTTCTTTCTTTTTTTTTTAATTTTAATCTTTTTTTTATGAGACATGTCTGCTCCTGGCAGCACCAATCTACTTCAGATAAGATATGAGCATTGAAGAACCTCCACATGGAGTTAACTTTCACTGTGGCAAAAATGAGCCACTGGGCAAGAAAATGCCCTCGCATTGACTGCTGACAGTATGCTGTCCAAAATGGACAAGCAGGACAAAAAAAAAAAAAAAAAAAAGAATGCCGATCCTTGCCAAGAAAAGTGTGGTTGCAGCTTTGGCAACAGATGTCCTCTGAGGCCAGGACAACATGACACCATCGATGAAGTGGCTTTGCAATACGGAAAAGGTACAGTACCCTTTCCTTCAAAGGCAGCTGAACAAGCAGTGGGCTGATGGCTCCTGGTGTGCAGTGAAACAGTAGCTGGAACAGTTATTCTTGGAGGAGTAACTAGGCTGATGGAGTCTGGCCTCTCAATGGTACACTGGCATTTAATAAAGGAGATGAAGCCACCCACAAGCCAAGAAGAATGGGAAGCTGAATTCCAAAAACACCAGCAATTGACAGAATGTAAAATTCTGAGTCATGGCAGGACACTGGTGGAATTCAAGTTTTCTGGTAAATAGAATACCTGCACCAAATGTGAGGTTGAGCTGTAGGCCTTGCTGTATATCATGCTTCACAAATGAGTCTGTCAGATATGCTAAGTCTGTAGGTCGATGATGCCCCAACATTGTAGAGAAACCTCAGGTGACTGTCCAGGAACCTGGCTGTTACTGTCATAACTCACATTTTTTGGAAGTCACTTGTATGTACTTCCTGTTTTACTAGGTAATATTATTTCCTTCTCAGGTTTCTGAGGGAGTTGAAGATTAGATAGTCGTAGTTACAGTTTTCCTTGTTAAGAAATTCAGATAAGAAACTCACTAAGAGGTGTTGAGTGTATAAGTTTGAAAAACATCGTAAGATAGTTTTCTGTTGGTGATACAAAATAAGATTGAAAGTGAATTAGGTACATTTTGGACTCACCAAAATAGGATAGATAATGGAATATTTTCTCTGAATTTGTCAAATGCAAATGGATTAGACATTGTTGATGTATTTATTGCATGTATATATTATATATATTTATTGTACTTATTGTATATATTTTTCTTATATTACTTATAACTTTTTTAAATTTTTTTTATTTTTTAGTAGACAAAAAGGGGAAATGTGGTGATATGTTATTTGTGCTGAAATGTCGTGATATTTTATTTGTGCTTTAATAAATAAAGCTTGCCTGGAAATCATAGGAAAAAGCCAGCCACAACACAGAAGTCACGCAATGTTAGCAGATGCCTTTAATCCTATCACTTGGCAGGAAGCATGTCTGTGTATTCAAGGCCACATTGGAAACAGAGCCAGGTGTGGTGGCACATACCTTAAATTCCAAAATTAGTTAACCATGGAGGTATGGAGGTCTGTATAGATAGACAGGAAGTGACAGAGCTGTTGAGAAAGAGGAAGTGATGTAGCTGAACTGAGAGAGCAAATCAGAGGCAGAACAGCAAGGTATATAGACATGGGTAGACAAGAAGTAACACATTTGGAAGCAGCAGAGTTGGTGAGGTAAGGTTGGCTGGTGGCTTTTCCTATTTCCCTGATCTCTGTAAGGCTTTCACCCCTCTATTTGGCTCTGTGTTTTTTATTTTATAAGACCATTTAGAAATTTGTCTACAGCAAACTTGGTAATCTGAGTGGCTTCAGAAACTCCAGAAGCTGCCAACAATCGCAGATGCCAGAACCAGGCATTGACAGTTGAGACCCCCTGTCCTAAAATGCTGAAGCGAGTGAAGTTTCAGCAATGCTTGTTTGAACTAGAGTGTTAACTGCAAAAATATTTTGGCTGTGAAAAATATTTATTCATATTTGGAAGACAGGTACCAAAATTTTTTTTGAACTTTTTTGACTTAAGAAATGGGATGGACAGGAGTGATTTCATTGCAATGGGACAATTTTGAATCTATTTATGCATGCAAATTCTATCAATGGTGATGACTTATGAACTGTTTTATGGAACTGTTTGTGTTAAAAATGGAAATGGTTAAATGGAGAAATTTTTTTTTTTCTACCTAGGCTCAAGATACACTTTTGTCTATGCATGTATGCTTTATTAACTGTGGTGATTTATGGGCCATTTTGTGTTAAAAAATGGAAATGTTTAAATGGAGAAGTTTGAGTTTATTTCTAACTACACTAAAGATTTAGTTTAAAAAATTATAAAGAAATGGAAGGGTTAATATTCCTCTATTTAATTTAGAAAATATTTTCTTGTTACTTGAGTGCATTAATGTTATGTTTTGTATAGTTCTACTAAGAAATTGCTTTTAGCCAGGTGGCGGTGGTGTATGCTTTTAATCCCAGCACTCGGGAGGGAGAGCCAGGTGGATCTCTATGAGTTTGAGACCAGCCTGGTCTACAGAGTGAGTTCCAGGACAGGCACCAAAGCTACACAGAGGAACCCGATCTCGACAAAAGAAAGAGAAAGAAAGGATGGAAGGAAGGAAGGAAGGAAGGAAGGAAGGAAGGAAGGAAGGAAAGAAAAAGAAAGAAAGAAAGAAAGAAAGAAAGAAAGAAAGAAAGAAAGAAAGAAAGAAAGAAAGAAAGAAAGAAAGAAAGAAAGAAAGAAAGAAAGAAATTACTTTTGGGTTTTTGCTAAAGTTTTTAAAGTGGATTTTGACTAAAGTTTTTTTTTTTCCCAAGTACAGATGGTGATTTATTGTGCATACAACTTCTACAGAATGCCTTCATTTGAACATTGATGTATATACAATTACTCACCAGAATGCTGCAGTTTTACAATTCAGCCAGAAATCTGTGGAGAGAGATCATGTTCACCAAGAAATTCACAAATATAGTTTCTACCTTTTCAGCATTTCTAAAAACACTCAGTCGTTTTCTATATAAAGAAGAGATTTCAAAAACCACTCCTTCAGTTTTACCATATTTATCATTATTCTTGGACTTCCACAATTATCATTTGCTAATAAATTCAGACGTATTAAGCCATATTCCTCTCCCAACATGTAAGTAGAAGGAGTTGCTGGAGGCAAAGTGTTTACGGTGGCTTTTGTGAAACCTAAATGTGCAGTGGTGATCCATGCACATCAGAGGCTTGCTCAGTGGAAAAATCACTTTATGCATTGTTTCTATGATAGGTAAACAACCAGTTGAATGGTAAACAGTTTAAATCAGCCAAATACTTCACATTGTATAGACAGAAAAAATAGTGAGGAGACTTCTAAATTCCTTTCTTACTGAAAATTATTTGATCATCTTGTCCTTATAATTTGAATGGCAATTGAAATGATGAGGAAACTTCCACCTTTAGCAGAATAACTTTAAAAAGTACACTATTTATCTCTTGCCACATATCACTTGGTTGCTATGCTATTACGGGAATGACAGCATGACCAGGAATATATAGGTTTATATTTTAGTTCTATTTTCTGTTATTGATAATGTGTTGTTCTGCTTTTTTTTTTTATTTTATAATTTGATTTAGTTTTACATATCAGCCACGGATTCCCCTGTCCTCCCTCCTCCCCAGGGGATTCAGCTCAACCTGGTAGATTCAGTCCAGGCAAGTCCAGTCCCCTCCTCCCAGGATGAGCATAGTGTCCCTGCATAAGCCCCAGGTTCCAAACAGCCAGCTCATGCACTGAAGACAGGTCCTGGTCCCACTGCCTGGGTGCCTCCCAAACAGTTAAAGTTAATCAACTGTCTCACTTATCCAGAGGGCCTGATCCAGTTGGGGGCTCCTCAGCTATTGGTTCCATTTTCTGACATCTTCTTCAATTTCTTTTTTCAGGGACTTAAAGTTCTTGTCATATAGGTCCTTCACTTGCTTAGTTAGAGTTATCCCAAGGTATTTTATATCACTTGTGGCTATTGTAAAGGCTATTGATGTATCTCTGATTTCCTTCTCAGCCTGTTTGTCAATTGTATATAGGAGGACTACTGATTGTTTTTGAGTTGATCTTGTATCTTGCTATGTTGCTGAAGGTGTTTATAAGCTGTATCAGTTCCTTGGTTGACAACAGAAGGAACATTACCAAACTCCTTCTATGAGGCTACAATTACCCTGATTCCTAAACCAAACAAAGATGCAACAAAGAAAGAGAACTTGACTAAAGTTTTTAAGGTATTAGTGGTTATATTGAGAGTATTGCTTTTTAACCTACTGATATCGATGCACCATGGTTTGGTGAAGTTAAGGGAGTAATTCACTTTGATGTGAATACATCAGAAGTTATCATATGTTTTGTTAGCAAGATATTCAAGTGGTCCTATTAAGGGATTGCTTTAAAGTGTAGTTTTGCTAAAGTTATTAAAATGTTAATGGTTCTATTACGAGATTGCTTTTGGATGTAAGTTTGAGAGAATTGTAATTATGTATAGCAATATTTATGTTAGAATTATGTTAACCTGTTGATTTTAATGATGAAGCTAAGGGAGTCTTTAAGTTTCATGCAGTTGCATCTGGAGCTTGACTTTTTTGGTGCAGTTACATCAAGAGTTTATTGATTTAAATAAGGGCTTTGTGCACCTAAGACTTCTATAGACATCTGAGACCCATTCAAAATGGAAATTTCCATCATTATTATCCTCTACTCCTTTACTAGGAGGTCTGACAGCTATGGAGATTGCTGTGAGCTCTTAATGGGGAGCCCTTTAAAACATTAAGAAGGGGAACCTGCTGGAGCCCGCCAAGGTTTCGTAGTAGCTTATCCCAGCAGGACTGCATGAGAAGATGATTGGACCATGAGCTTTGGTACCAGGTGTTTGAAATGGTATACACTTGATTGTATCTAGCAGGGGACAGTCTTTTTGACTCACCTCTTGACATTGTTATAAAAAGCCCTTTTGAATAAAGTTCTGGGCTGGAGGCCCTCCTCAGACTATCCTGCTTCTGTCTTTCCTCTCATCATCTAGGTATCTCTTTCCATCTAAATATTTCCAGTTCTCCCTGCTCAAGAGTAACCTGGTCATAAAAGGGGGCTGGTCCCCCACAGGTAGTAAATGCTAATGTTTTTAACCACTATTGTGGGGGTCTATAAATTAAACTTTCTGCCTCAATCAAATATGCACTGGTTCCTTATGGGACTAATTTCTAAACAGCTCCCAGTGTATGGCAAATCTCCAGTAGCAAAGGCCACTTGCTTGAATAGGCAAGTGGTAAAACAATACAGTTAGAAAGCATTGATTATTTTAAATTCCAAGATCTTTATAAGTGTCCCAATAGTATGACAACCGATTTTGCATACAAGGGATAATGCAAATTCTCTTTTCAATTATTTTTCTGTAAATATTCTGGCAACTGTAAGACTCATAAAAAGTACCCCATTAAGCCCCAGATTATCTAAAACTCACTTATAGGTGGCGTGGTATTCCCAAAACAATTCTGAGAGACTGTGTCATCCTGTTTAGCAGCATAAAAGCTTATCACACCTCTGGTCACTCCAATATGCCTGTTTCACAATGCTGCTTTCCCTTCTATTGTGTTTCCAGTCCCCTATAGCACAATGTACTCACAACTTCCCCACATTGTCTTATAGGGTGTCCTGCAGCTGAAGGGAGTGTTTCTGGCCTAGCAAGATCCTGTCTGAGGCCAGTCTTGTTCTTAAAAATATAGTCCCTGGAATGCCTACCAGGTTCTTGAAATCTGACTCTTACAATGCTCTTCCACGAATGCTGTTGAATTCAAATCCCACAGAGCCTCTGCTTTATTTGCCATTACCCCTCTGATATGGTGATTGTTACTGCCTCACTGACATGCATATGACCCTCTATATCCATGCTGTCTTCCATGCAGGTCCAGCTTCTAGGCTACCTGGACCCATTTTATACAGGCTCACCACATGCTAGACTAGAACTATGTGTACAAATAGTTACAGAATGAAGAAAACAATAGTGTGAACGGTACAATGTGAGATGTCTTTTCATTGTGGACAAGTTTAAAAATGTACCATGATACAGATATCTGTACTGATTTAGGATAATGATTTCAAGATCCCCAAAAAGAGGAGTCCCTATCTCTTGAACACCTGAAATTGGAATCCCCAGAGTTTGTCAGCTGGCTGCAATCTCCAGATTGTTAAGGGCCAATACAGAAACCTAACATTCCATGGTCTCCTGTCTCAGGTCCAACATCCCTGATGTAGCAGCAACTGGTAGAAATTATCTATGATCCTTTTAATTCAACAGCCTGAATTTATTCAAGGTTTTACTAACAATGAGCTCCTGTTTAAATAAACACCAATACTGAGAACACCAAAATGTTCTCAAACAATATTTTCTTGTGGATTGAATATATTTTCGTGTTGAAATCTGTGGGAAAAAAATATATAATGATATGGATTTGTTAAGTGTAATACGCTGAGTTTTCTAAGGTACAAAATTTGAATCTTCCTGATTTTATTATCAATAATCTATTATAATGCTTTAGTGTCAACTAGATACCTTTTCATACCTTCTCAGTATGTCAAACTGATTTCCCAGCACACTTTTGGAGATTTCTAAAACTATAAATGAGCATATGTACACTGCATCTTGTTCATAGATTATCTCATTAAAGTTTCATAGTTACATGACATTTCTATGGAAGGACCTACACATTAAATGAAGCTGAAGATAAAACCTTAGCAAATCCCTTTATTAAGCTTTGTTTCATGTGAATATTCTGGGATTTCTACAATAGTAGTATTGTGCAAATGCCTTTAAAAAAGAACTGAAATTCAACTAATTTCTTGGGGCTTATAGAGTGTCACGGACCTCAAGAATATGAAATAGGGAGTCCAGCTGTGTATAATAAGCTATAACTTGACCAACCAAGGTGTCCTTCAAGAGGGAAGCCATTTATCAAGGGTTATTGGATGTTATTAAGCTTAATATTCAGCTGTTTCTTGTTATGAATTTCTTGTGCTCATATTTCCCTTAGGACTGTGTGTGTGAGCCTCCTCCTCGGGTTAGTACTTGGATAAGGTCAAGTAGGCAGGGTCTTCTGCCTCTGAGCTCCCTACTCCCTTTTTAGCATTTGAATTGGCTATCTGTCTTTTGCAAATATCCCCATTAGCTACATCCAAAGATAGGGCTCCTCCAAACAAAGCATTGAAGGACAATCAAGAAACAGAATAGCTGGCCAGACCACCTGCTATGTGCCTGAAGCCCCTGAACTATGGTAAAATGTCCTTTCAAAGACAACCTGGCTCCTAGGCCAAGTACCTGGCTCCTAGGTGCATAGCTTTGCTTTTTGTGCAAATCAAGTTCAGATCTCCCCACTTCTCACTGCTCCAGAGCAACTTCTTAGAACAAAGGGTTTTCTTTTCACCAGGTTTTTCAATCTTGACTGGCTATCAGTACTCCTCTCCTGCCCTGTCAGAAAACTGGCAGCATAGAAAAATAGCGGCAGTTTTATTTTTAGTGACTTATAGATGTCTTTACCCTATCACCTGTGAGTTTGTACTTTGACTACATTTAGGATAGACTTGTAATGTCTTCACCTAACTACATATGAGGATATATTTCTAGCACATGAATTCCTTTTCTGATTTATTCCTATCTAACTCCACCTTTACTCACTCCCCATTTGGGTTGCAAATGAATTTAACCAGGAAGCTTCTGGTGAGGACCTTGCAATTCTTGTGTGGTATTGTAAACACAGAGTTTGTTGCTGTTTTTGCAGAGATATAGACCGGTCCCTGAGAGGACTGGGGAGAATTATGGTGGCAGACAAATAAACAAGTTGGACAAAAGAGCTCTGTATATCTAGATTCAGTTCCCAGCCATTGGTAGCATCTCTCCTGGACCCCTGGGAAGGAAATTAAGAGGCTGGACCTCAAAATTTCTGTTAATAGAGCAGGGTGATAAGGTGTAGAATGACACAAGGACACCAGGATAGTCTATAGTATATGCCCATGGATAGCATTGTTCTCAAGGTCAATGGAATTTGGCTGAGTCACGCAGTATCAGCATGAGTTCAAAGCTTTTCAGGAACACAGTCCAGATTGGATGATGTCTGTCACCAACAGTTTTGTAGCTGTATTTTCATTTGTCATTTTGTAGACCTTTCTCTCCTCTTTTAATGCAAGGAAGAAAGCAGCCTTCTATCTGAGCCTCCCAAAGCCCTTAAATTCTATGAGTGGAGCCTTTATAACTTAAGCAAGTACCACTATGAATGTAAACCTGGAACATTTCAGTAGAAACAATCTTCCTTTTTTGTAGACTCAAATGCCTTTTCTCTAATACAGTGGCTCCAAATTTCCTAATGCTGCAAGCCTTTAATTGAGTCTCCCAAGCACTCCTGTGGGGGCCCAAATTACTCGGGTCAGAGAATCTGAACTTGCTTTACCCCAGCAGGGCTGCATAATGGGATGATTTTACCACGGGCATGGCTACCAGGTGTTTTGAAGGGTCTACTCTTGCCTGTATGTTGTGCTTTGATCTTGAAAGGGGGAGGTCTTTTGCTTCCCCCCTTGGCATTGTACAAAAAGCCCTTTGGAATACATCTTGAGGTGACTGGGTATTGGCTCAGGGTCCTACTGTAGTTATCCTGTGTCTCTGTCTTTCTTATCATCTTTTTCTATCTTTCTGTCTAATACATCCTCATTCCTCTCCTGTCCCTCCAAGAACCCTTCAAAGAGTGGGAGCTGGACTTCCACACACTCTTATGTGGGTGTATCTTCATGTGGGGAGACCCAGCTAGAGACAACATAGGCACGGTATCTCAGTTCCTAAAACCATTGAATATATATTTTCCTGTACCTTAGGCAACCCATGTGAAAGGGTCTTTTAATCCCAAATGAGTCATGGCCCACAGGCTGACAAATGCTACTCTATTATCAACTTCCTGTTTAGAACAAGTTTGGAGGAACAATTAATGGGTACAGCACCTATTTTATGAGACCTCTTTCCTAGGAAGATGCAACATACATAAGCATCTACTCACCCCAGTAGGAAACTGAAAACAGAATCAAATCCAACTTTTTGAATCAATGAGTTTTATTGGAATTTTTTGTAAGATTATGGGTAAGCAGTTGCTTATTGGAGCATAAGGAACTCAAACAGTTGTTATCATGAAACTCAAAAAACAGCATGTGTTAAAGCTCATGAATAATGCACAAGGCAGACCTGTAAGTATATCTACAAGTTAAAGAGCATCCTATCTTTATGGCTAAATCCTCTTCTAAGGGGCATGACTTCTGAGTTTCTTCATTTGAGTTATGAACACTGAACGCTGTCAGTTTCAGGGGTTTCTTGAAGCTGAAGCTTGAAGCTCTTGAGTGGTGTATTTCCTGCCTTAAGCAGCTTCCATTCAAAATGGATCATTATAGTCTCCAGGAAACTGTTACACAACAGCATATACTTCAGTTTTCTCCATTCTGTATTCATTATCAAGTATTTGAGCTTGAACATGTAAAAAATTTTAATGTAAAGTGTCCTATATTTTCACAATTTCCGTCTGCATTAAACACTTGATGTTCTGAAAGATTTGAACATAACTTAAAGGCTTTCACAAGTTTCTCATGTTCATAATGATTCTCTAGTGTGGATTCTCAAGTGTAGTTAAGAACAGAGTTTGGTTAAATCACATGCCAAATTATATTCAATGAAAACTTGTCTCACCAGTATGAATTTTCAGATGTTTTCTTAGACCTAGGAGGCAAGTAAAGACTTTTCCTCATATGTTACATTTGTAACTTTTCTCTCCTGTGTGAATACTTTGATGTTCTCAAGGTGATTTTGTAGATAAAATGTTTCTTATATTGACTACTATGGTGGTTTAAATAGGTATGGCACCCATGTACTCATGTGATTGAATGCTTTGCCCATATGGAGTGGAACTATTAGGTGTGGCCTTGTTGGAAGAATTGTTTCACCATTGAGGCAGGCACTGAGGTCTCATATATGCTCAAGCCACACCTAATACATAGCTCACTTCCTGCTGCCAGAGGATAAAGATGTAGAACTCTCAGCTCCTTCTCAGGCACCATATCTGCCTCCATGTCACTATGCTTACTGATGTGAGTCTAATAGACAAAAACTTTGAAACTATAAACCAGCCCCAATTAAAAGTTTTCCTTTAAGAGTTGCCATGGTGATAGTATCTCTTCTGAGTAGTTAAATCCAAACTAAAATAACTACATTTGTAAGGTTTCTCTCCTGAATGAATTCTCTAATGTATTCTCAGAAATGCGCAAACAGTAAAGGATTTCTCACATTTGCTACATTTGTAAGGTTTCTCTTTTGTATGAATGCTCTGATGTGTTCATCTTGTTCTTCTGTTGGCTAAGTGGTGGCATCTGACTGTAACCCTGTGACCCTGCATTCAACACCCTGTTGCTCAGGCAATGGCCTGGTGGGATTTCTGGTTCTGCTGGCACAGACTCTGCCACAGCCACCACATGTAGTTTATAACTAAGTCTCCACTGTGGTGGTATTGTGTTTCCCGAAATATTGTGCACCCTAATAAACTTATCTGGGGTCAGAGACAGAACAGCCACAATATTAAACATAGAGGATAGGGAGTGGTAGCACACGCCTTTAATTCCAGCATTTGGGAGGCAGAGCTAGGCAGAAATCCATGTGTTCAAGGATATAGCCAAGCATGGTGACTCACGCATTTAATCCCAGAAAGCGAGCCTTTAATCCCAGGGAGTGATGGTAGAAGGCAGAAAGATATATAAGGCATGAGGACCAGGAACAAGAAGCATTTGGCTGGTTAAGCATTTGGCTGGTTAAGCATTCAGGCTTTTGAGCAGCACGGTTCAGCTGAGAACCATTCGGATATGAGGACACAGAGACTTCCAGTCTGAGGAAACAAGTTCAGTTGAGGAATTGGCAAGGTGAGGAAGCTGTGGCTTGTTTTGCTTCTCTGATTTTCCAGCGTTCACCCCAATAACTGGCCTCAGGTTTGATTTTATTAACAAGAACTTTTAAGATTCCTTCTACACTCCATTGTTGTATTTCCCAATAAAGACTCAGGAATAAGATGTTAGGGTGAAAACTTGCTACTTAAGAGAGGGCAGGAAGCAACCAGCTGACCTTCCTTTTTGGCCAGAGACCCAGCAAGAGAGTGTCTCTCCAACCATTTCAAACCAAAAACACCAAGAAACTCCAAGTCGTTCCCTACTCCTTCCTGTGTGTCTGTTTTCCACACTCCGCCATACTCTTGGTGGCAATTTCATGTCGACTAATTCCAGGCCCCAGCCCCATACACAGTTGATTTTAATACATTGATTTCAGAGGGAGATCAAATATCCCACAACATATTCTGAGATGAGCAATTACTAAAGGATTTCTCATGTTTGCTACATTTCTAAAGTTTCTTAAATGTATATATTCTCTAATGAGTTCCAAGCTTCTCTTTCAATGTAACGGATTTCTAGCATTCACTACATTATGTAATGTTTCTCAGCTGTATGCGTTTTCAGATGTCTTCTAAGAGCTGAGCCCTGTATAAAGAATTTGTCACATTCACTACATTTGTAAGGTTTCTCTCCTGTATGAATTCTGTGATGCATTTTAAGACTGCCTTTCTGGGTAAATAATTTGTCACATTCACTACATTTGCAAGGCTTCTCACCTGTATGAGTTTTGAGATGTTTTCTAAGACCAGAGCCACTCAAAAAGAATTTGTCACATTCACTACATTTGTAAGTCTCCCCTCTGTGTGGATTCTCTGATGAGTTCTAAGATAGAGTTTTGTGGCAAAGGATTTGTCACATTCACCACATTTGTAAGGTTTCTCTCCTGTGTGAATTCTCTGGTGAGTTCTAAGATGGCTTTCTGTGGTGAAGGATTTGTCACATTCACTACATTTGTAATTCTCCCCTCTGTGGATTCTCTGATGTATTCTAAGAGAGGAGCCACATGTAAAGGATTTGCAACATACACTACATTTGTAAGGATCCTCTTCTGTGTGGTTTCTCTGATGAGTTCTAAGATAGCCTTTTGTGACAAAGCATTTGTCACATTCACTACATTTGTAAGGTTTCTCTCCTATGTGGATCCTGTAATGTCTTCCAAAGTGTGATGTATGATAAAAGCAATTACCACCTTTTGTACATTTGTAGGGTTTTTCTTTAAAATGGATTATGTAATGTACTTTGAATTGTGAAAAATACAGAAAGTGTTTACTATATTTTGTACATCTATAGGATTTGTCTCTAGGATGGGCTCTCTGATGTCTAATGAGGCTTGAGTGAGTCTTGAGGCATTTCCACATTTCCTGCATTGATGTGCTTTCTTCCTGCTATCAGTTTGTTTCAATGTGATTTCTGTATTAGAGTCAAAAGATGTATCATACTCCATATTTTTGTGTTCTTTCTTTCCTGTATGAGTTCTTTGATTTTGGCTAATGATAGAACACAAATTTAAACAGTTTCCACAGTCTTTATACTTGCAAAGTTCTTCTCTAGCATTCCCACTTTTGTTTCTGTTGAGGTTTAAGGTTTCAACACAGGCATCTCTGTGGTTAAAAAAGCTGTACTTGGGGCTGGAGAGATGGCTCAGAGGTTAAGAGCACTGACTACTCATCCAGAGGTCCTGAGTTCAATTCCCAGCACCCACATGGTGGATCACAACCATCTGTAATGAGATCTGGTACCCTCTTCTGTATACATAATAAATAAATAAATCTTTAAAAAAAAAAAGCTGCACTTGTAATTTTCTGCAGTATCACTTGTGTCATAAGATCTACATTGGCAGAATTCATGAATCACTTTGCCAAACTCATTATATTTATAAGACTTCTCTTTGATGTTTTCATGATCATGGATCAAATGCTTTGTGTCTTGATGCCAGACCTTCTCATATTTACCACATATGCGATGGTTCTCTGAAAAATTAGTGTAATTAGGGATAATAGCAATTAATGCATGAGTAACAGATTCAATGACTGATGTTTTCTTAGTTTTCTATGACAGATAAGCAGTTAACTTTCAGGTACATAGCTCTTAACAGAGGACTTTTCTGTTACACAGTCATTGAATGGATGCTCATAAAAATCTCCAATCTGATCTATAAGCACAGGAACAATAATAGCCTACTCATTCTTTTTTCCTTTGTATTGAATTTTTTTCATTTATTTGACATCTCAGCTGCAGTTTCCCTTCCCTCCTCTTCTCATGTTTCCTCTCCCCACCTCCCTCGCTCTCTTTATCAACTCCCCCTCTGTTTCTGTTCTGAAAGGGACAGGACTCCCATGGGTGTCAACAAAGCATGGCATATTAAGTTTAGGTAGGACTAAGCTCCTCCCTTTGTATTAAGGCTGGGTGAAGCAGCCCACTATGAGGAATAGTTTCCCAATATGAAGCCAAAGCATTAGGGAAAGGCTCTGATTGCACTGCCAGGATTACCACAAGCAGACCAAACTAAACAACTGCCATACATATGTAGAGGACCTAGGTCAGTGCCATGCATAGCCTTCTCATTCTTATCTAAACACTGTACCTCATAGCTGGTAAGACAAATAGATGTTTGAGTAGTAAAGAACTTTGAGAAAGAAGCTCTGTGAAGGATCATAGGAATAACACTTCCCTATTTCTTATGTTACTGAGACAGAGTACACTGCACAGCTTTGGTCAGCAAGGAACTCATAATATAACCTATGTTGGCAGAGCACTCAACATGTCCTCCCACTTCAGCCTCCACATTAAAATCATGCTGTGCCAGTATCAGACATGGCAACTACATCTCAAAAATAAATACACAAAAACAGCATTCTCAAAACCAACACATCTTTCTCTAAAACCTTTTCTATTGTTTATAATCAGATATAGGTGAAGAGTTTAAAATAGTAGTAAAATTAATATATTCTAATTACTGTAAGTACTGTTATATATTTCCTTGCTTTGAATATTTAATATTCTTTTAACTTTGAAATTTTCTTTATATATTAGATAAGAGGGGTGAAGAGATCATGGAGAATTTCACATTGGTTACTCTTCTATAGAACACAGAAAATGTAAAGGAAGCACCATCAAAAATTTCTATTGGTAACAAGAATTTTCCTCATTTCTGGGATTCTCTAGGTACAGAGAGTTTACGTATACACGAAGTAAGTAACTAAAAAGGATGAATCAGAAATTCTACAAGAAGAGAATTCTTACCCACAAAGAGTAGGTTGTTGTAATTCTCCAACATCACATCCATGTACAAAGCCCTCTGAGCAGTTTAGACATTCCCATTCTTCCTGGGAGATGTCAACATCCACATCCCTGAATGATAACAGACTCTGCCATGGAAAATTACCTATTTACAATGTGATGCTTGACAAATGATTTCTTAGGTGAAAGGGACCTAAAGAATTAGAGACATGTTTGTGATATACATGAGGTATGACAATGTTTAAAGGACGAGAGTTTTCTAGAAGTGCTGCACTGCTACTCTTTCAGAAACAATGTATAGAAGGAATTACTACATTGTTTCCATACATTAGGTCACCTCTTCCATGAATTTTCTGATGTTTTCTAAGACCTGAGTAGCAGATAAAAGATTTGTCACAATCACTATATTTGAAAAATTTGTCTCCAATTTACAGTCTGTCATGTCTTAAAGTCCTTGAAAATGTAGTTAGGTTCCCAGCACACTCATGGCATTACAAAACAGAATTTAATCTCAGATCCATGAGACCCAATGCTCACTGATGAAACTTATAGGCAGGAGTCATACATAGTACATACACATACTTTCAGGCAAATATATGGATATTTATAAAATAAAATTGTACTTTAATTTTAATAAAAGATACTTTCTAAAACATTCAGTCTTTATTTTATTTTCTACCTCTGTGAAAACAGGATGGCATAATATTCTTGCAATCAGCAAACTTTTAGGGAATATACCATACACATTTGAGGTCAAGATGCAGAAATGTACCTTTATGAAATGTGTGTTGATAGCAAACAGAATCCCAGTGTCAAATCTCAGATAGTAAAGTTATAATACTTCAAAATTATACAACTGTTGTTATTGCTTTAATATGGACACTAGATCAACCCTGTCTGAAGCTGGATTCATCTGACTCTACTCTAAAATGCTTAGTTGAGATCCTGAGGGCTAAGTAAAATGCTGCACCCCTTCTAGAACAAAAGGGTATAATATGGAATGTAGAATTCATAGATGAATTAAAGTCAGTTTTTTCTTGAGAGTAAGGAGTGTAAAACCTTTGAATATATCCAATGTTCCAAATAACACACAGAATCAAATTCTTTATGAAGACATTTTTTGAGAAATATTTACAACCATGAAGTAAAGAGAAAAATCATAATTAGACAACATTAATGTTATTTAAATTTTTCTAAAAATTGAAACAAACAATACTGATAATAACAATTTCATGAATTCCATAAAGTGTTTCACTACAGAATAATTTGATATATATGTGTAAACAAATGCCATCTGCGACAGTGCATTCAGATGAAGTAGAAACACTTTCTGTTATAAAAACAAATGTATTAAATACAATGAGAAATATTCTAACTTCACTAATTGTGAATTGAATCAACTGAAAATTGAAATCTCTTCATTTCAACTTTTATTTTTTTCTTCAGTATTTGAGCTCATTCATCTAACTGGGTTCTAGCATAGATAAGTATCATTTGTGATTATTCCTTCATTTTTCAAAACTAGAATACACAGGGTTATATATTGTCACAAGAATGTACCAGAAATGTAAATCTAGAGCCTAAACACATAGCTCAGAGATAAAAGGCACTTGTACCTACAGAGAAACTTAATTTAATTCTCTCTACACACATGACAACTAACTATAGTTTCTGACTTCGGTGCCAAGGGTTTGGTGCTGACATCATGGATCTAAGGGCATAATGCATCATGCAGTATACGTAAAATATGCAGATAGACCCTCATATACTCAAATGAAGTATTATTGTAAAGATACAGAAACACTGACACAACTCTTCAGAACTTGTCCCTGTGTAATACAAACCTTCAGGGAGAGGAAAAACTTAGGCTGAAGAGAGCCTTCTTTCTCCAAAAGAAAAGAAAAGAGTAATCAAGAGGGACATTCATTTATGCTTGAAAATTGAGGGCTTATGTCCAGCAGCAAGTAAATACTCCCTGGAAAATTCTCACTAATATATTCCACCTGATGCCATACAAAGGCGGAGATAGCAAGGATAACCACGGAACTTTAAAAGGAATCTCTACTGAAACAATTACATCTCAGGTGTCAACACACCCATCATCAATGTGTGACATAACATGGCAAGAACAGAAACTAGAATACTGCAACCTTCATCTGCGCATAGGCAGATCAATTTTCTGGCAAGAGCAAGCCACATATTACTTCTGTCATCTGTGCTTTCTAGAATGCTGAAATACTATTAGGGTTCAAGGCAAGCAGTCGCTTCAAATTCTACTTTTCTATAAATTTCTCAGTGATGTCAGTGAAAAGGTCCATGTATTGGAATGTCCACATTCACAAGCCTATTTCTGCAAAACTGACCATTCCAGAATGCCAGCTATGTGGCACATGAGACCTCCCTTCCTCACTAATATAAAAGAACACATGTTCATCCCATGTAGAAAGTGGGCATCAATATATTTCTTTGAGTGTCATTTACAATAGCATCTCTTTTAGAAATTCAAGTCTTCAATCCATGGAAATTCATGGCCTCACAGTATAAAATCGAGTAAAAATATAATTGGACAAGTCTCTGCTATATAGGTGAAAGATTTAAAGACTTAAACTTGAATATAAAAAAAGAAAAACAGGTAAATAAGTCAAAATAAACACTTTCAAAAACATTGCCAGTGGTAGAGGATTAAAATCTTGAATGGTTTCTATAATAAAAGCAGTTTTCAGAGAAATGTGAATAAGACACTGACCTGGGGAGCATTAACCACAGAAGCATTCATTCTTCTTGTTGCTCTTCTTTGAGTTTCTGTCTCAGAAACAGAGAGTGGAATTTTGTTGAAATTTCACATCAAGGTGTCAAAAAACAAAGCTAAAATTAATACAACTCTATTATGGTCAATGCAAAACCACATAAGAAGATCCAAAAACTGAAATGATATCAGAAACCTTGTCAAAGACAGGAGAACATGGAAGGGTATATTTAGAGTGGTGAAAGAAAATCACTATGAACCTTATCATTGCACCCCGAAACATGAGCTCTTAAAATTCATGAAGGAAAGTCATATGAAGTGGGTTATAAAATGACAATGGTCATCCACTCAAGCTGCACTGCAGATCTTAGAGGAAAAGTTTACATAGAAAAATTACAGAGAAATTAGTCATGACAACTCAGGAAATAAGGCATTTTATAAAAGGAGTAGATGATTAGGAGAGCTAGGGTGTACCAGATTATTTCCAACACACAAAACCAGCAAACTACCATTTCCAACTAGAAGGAAGTAAATTACTACCCTAATATTACCCACAATAATATTAAAAAACAAATCATGAATAAAAGCTCCATGCTATGAAAATACCAGTAGAAACAGATATGCTACAAGACAAACTTCAGGAGATTTTAGGATAAACTCCTAAGTGAAACAGGAAGAAATGGAACACAGCTGAGCACAGTAAGGGAAGTTGTGTTACACTGAAGCTAATAGTCCAGTGCAGAGGAAAAAAATGAGCAGCATTAGCAGGAAAACTAACAGGAGAATAAAACAACATGTGCTCTCCAGTCTTATTGCATCTAGTGGCATAAGAGTGTGCCAGGAAAAAAAAATTGAGTAAGAAATGAGTTAAGAAGAAAGGCACCAAATTCCATTTTAATGATGGAATTTAATGATCACACAAAAAACTTTCCATAGTCACCACAGGAAAATGTTAGATTTGCTAACTGCTTCACATATTATAGAAAAGTACAAAACTAACACAGAAAATAATTACTTTATTAATAATAATAATTTGAAAAGTAATTTATAAATTTAAGCCATTCAGGTTGTTTCCAAAAGATCTAGGAATAACATAAAGTAATGATGAATTCACTTCTATGAAGAAAATTTTAAGGCACTCAAGCTAAAACATGAAAAGTAATAATACACAAAGAAATAGACTTCTGCAAACACTGACTGATGAATGAAATGCTGTATATGGTTTGTCTTAGCGAGGGTTTCTATTGCTGCAACGAAACATCACGATCAAAAAGCAAGTCAAGGAGAAAAGAGTTTATTTGGCCCACACCTCCATATTGCTGTTCATCATTGAAGGAATTCAGGACAGGAACATATAAACAAGCCAGACCTGGAGGCAAGGGCTGATGCAGAAGCCATGGAGTAGTATTGCTTACTGGCTTGCTTCCCATAGCTTGCTAAGCCTGCTTTCCCATACAAGTAAGCAGCGCCAGCCCACCATCCCCAACAGAATAGAATGGGTCCTTCCCCATCAATTCCTAATTAAGAATTATGTCACACCTTATGAAGGCATTTTCTCAATTGAGATTCCTTCCTCTCTGATAACTTGTATCAAGCTGACATAAAACTATCCTGCACATGATTACATTATTAAGAGTAGATTGGTGTAATCCAATAAGCAAATACTGACATTTTCCACAAAAGTAGATATAGAAATAGTCATATGGACACAGAAAAATCACCAATATTAAAATTATCCTTAAAAACAGTATTACTTGGGGTATCACAAGACCTGATCATATATTATAATTCAGAGGCACAATAACAAAGACAGTATGGTACTACATTAAAAAAAAAAAAAAAAAAAAAAAAAAAAAAAAAAAAACCTCACAGATTATTGAACAGAACAGAGATCCCAAAAGAAAACACAAGAAGAAAGATAAAGTGAGCCAAATACATAAAAAATGAACCGAAGAAGAGTGAAGCTGCTGTGGGATGGTCTGTATGTCAGGTGTGTTGCTGATTGGTCAATAAATAAAACACTGATTGGCCAGTGGCCAGGCATGAGGAAGTATAGGCGGGACAAGGAGGAGAATAAAGCTGGGAAGTGGAAGGCTGAGTCAGAGACACTGCCAGCCGCCACCATGACAAACAGCATGTGAAGATGCCGGTAAGCCACGAGCCACGTGGCAAGGTATAGATTTATACAAATGGATTAATTTAAGCTATAAGAACAGTTAGCAAGAAGCCTGCCACGGCCATACAGTTTGTAACCAATATAAGTCTCTGTGTTTACTTGGTTGGGTCTGAGTGGCTGTGGGACTGGTGGGTGAGAGAGATTTGTCCTGACTGTGGGCCAGGCAGGAAAACTCAAGCAACAGAAAGCCCTTTGAACATTCAATGCTGGGGAAATGATTACCCATGTGTAGAAAATCCCTATCTCTAACTCTACCCAAAAATCAACACTAACTAGATCAAGGAACTTCCTGGAAAATTTGAAGTGCTGAAAAAGTGCTAGAGGAAAACATGATTATAAATTCTAAATTATTTTGAAATAAGCAAACATACCCTGAAAGAGATTCCAGGAGCAAAGAAATTAACCAGGAAAAATGACAAAGGGATTTCGTGGAGTACAAAGCTGTGCAGATCAGAAAAGTACACAAAGAATGAATGGTAGCTAAGAAAGTGAAATAAATACTTAGGCTTTCTTCACACAAGGGCCTAATATACACACTACACAAAGAGCTGCCTAAAGTAAACATATGATGTTCAAACTATCTATACAAAAGAAATTGGTATGGGAACAATAGCTTTCAATGGAGTTAAGAATAGAGACCATGCTGAGTATTGGAAGATTGGCAGTGGTAATATTTCTTTCTTGGGTCTCTGAAGGAGTTGAAGATTAGTTACAGTTGAAGATTAGTTAGTTATAGTTGAAGATTAGTTAATTATAGTTGAAGATTAGTTAGGATAGAAAGTGAATTAGGCACATTTTGGACTTACCAAAATAGAATAGATAATGGAATTATTTTCTCTGAATTTGTCAAATACAAATGGACTAGACATTTTTTAGGTATTTATTACTTGTATATATGGTATATAGTTATTGTACTTTTGTATATAGTTTTTCTTATGTTAGTTATAACCTTTTTCCTTTTTTTCTTTTTATTAAAATAGAAAAGGGGAAATACGGTGATATTTTAATTGTACTGAAATGTGATTTTATTTGTATATTAAGAAATAAAGTTGCCTGGGGGTCAGAGCTAATAGCAAGCCATAGCAGAAACTGGGCAGTGGTGGTGCACGCCTTTAATCCCAGCTCTTGGGAGGCAAAGCTAGGCGGATCTCTGTGTGGTCAAGAATACAGCCAGCATGGAGACACAAGCCTTTAATCTCAATACCAACCATAGAAGACCTGGAGGTCTGTACAGACAGGCAGTGACGAGGAGGTCACGTGGTTGGGTTTACAACCAATGAGAAGGCAGAACAGAAAGTCTATAAAAAAGACAAACAGACAGGAAGTAGGTCTCTTGCTGAAGAGGACAACAGCAGCAGTGAAGGGTAAGGTTTTTAGCTTTGACCTCTTGGGCTTTCATCTCTGCATTGGCTCTGTGTTTCTTATTTAATAAGACCATTCATCTACATTTGGCAGGTGTAATAAAAGGCAGGTGACAATAGTTACCCTCATGAAATGAAGTTCAGAAGAAAAGCCTCAAAACCATGATGCAGCCTTGAGATAGGAATGCATCATGAATGAATAATTCCATACTGTGTTCTTCATATGGCATCATGAGGTAAGAGTGAAGTTTTAAATGATAGCCTCACAAGCTCACATCTCAGGAAAAGGACGGCTTTCATACTGATAGAAGAAGTCAGAGGAAGATGTTAATTTCTCCAAATAAATAGAAAATTATTTCCAATATAAACACACAGTCACATTCCCTGATTAGTCCCTTCTTGAGGAAAGGTTTGAGGGGCTCTAAAATCTTCCACCAGTGCACATTGCTGTCAGCAGTTGTAGGTTAGTAGAAAATACCTAGGGTTATGGAGTTTGTGATCCCTGGCAAAAGACCACAGCCTCAATCCAATTATACTTAAAAGATTTATTGATTAGATGCTAGCAAGATGAACAATCTCTAAGCCAAATTTGAGACTGCTATGCAGGAAGAGTATGAGGATGGTGTAGTTGGGACTTTCACTGGACCACCAGCTCCCAAATAATGACATGGAGACTAAATACTAATTATGAAAGCTTGGCCTTAGCTTAGGCTTGTTCCCAACTAGCTCTTATAACTTTAATTAACTTGTTGTAGAATGTTTTGATCACACTGTGACACTCCAAGACTGCCAATAAAGTTGTCCTTGAATCAGGGTACAGAGTTACCAATTGGCTGAGCAGAATTAACCATAGAGGTTTTGGTGGACCCAGATTAGGATAAAGAGACACAGGAAGGAATACATAGGGGCTTGGAAAGATTCATGTTCTTTTCCATATGGATAAGCATAGAGAGGCAGGTTCAGCTGATCATTTCTCCGTTGCTCTGTAGATCTATCAGTCTTTTTTTCCCAATATCTGATTCCTGAGTTTTATTGAATAAAACAATAAATGCAATCCCTCATTAACCCATTTATATTAATCTACATTCTGTCATGTGGTTCATTATTTCTCCTCCATACTGAGTTCCTGCTTCCTCTGTGACTTGCTGATGAATTCTGTGTGCTTCAGAATCCTCCCAGAGTTCCTCTCTCTACCTGGAAATCCCACCTCTCCTGCCTAGCTATTGGCTGTACAGATTTTTATTAAACCAATCAAAGCAACACATCTTCACATAGGGTACAAATAAACAGCAACAGGAAGGTTTTTGCAGACATAATTCACCAGCTTCACTGACCCTACATAGCAGAAACCAGAGGACACAGGAATGGAGAATTCATTGTTTTAAAACTGACAGAAGGAGAAGGACCTGATAAGCAGCAATAGAATCAGAACGTGTCCATTCTGAAGGTGTTTCCATGAATGGAATTCACAGCAGCAACATGGAATTCAAGAGCAGTGAGGAGATTAAGGTGAAATGCGCATGAGCAAATGCTGCCAGTGAACAGCACCACATGCAGTCAAGTCTCCTCAGAGAAGAATAAGCATGTCCTTCAGGGACCTTATAGGTCCAACTGCAATCTTCTGTAATCAATGTGATTTGTTTCTCATTAAACTTCAAATGTGAATCACATATAAGAGTTTGTTCAGTGTTACTTAGGGGAAAATTAACTGGCACCCCTTCATTCGACTTCAAATCCTGTTGGGCTATTAGTACTCATTTAGAGAAGAAATTTGACCCTTCTGATTAGTGTGGAGGTTTTGGAGAGTTAGGTACCCAGGGTAGAAATTAATGATAAAGAGACTCAAAGAAGGATACAAGGGGTCAACGCACAGACTTCTTGCAGTAAAAAGACACAAATAGTGACAAACCATTCTTCACTAATCCAAATAAGACAGTAAACTTCCAAAGTCACAGAATTAAATCTGAAAAGAGGTGTAGCATGAATTGTTAGAAGGTCTTATTAATAAAAACAAACCCAGGGCCTGGTATTCTTGGGAATATGGATGTAATTGGATGCCAGATGTAGCAGGAATCTTAACAGGTCTTATTAATAAAAACAAACTCAGAAGCCAGGAATTGGGGTGAATGCTAGAAGATCAGAGAAGCAGAACAAGCCACAGCCACCTCACTCCGCCAATTCCTCAGCTGATCCTGTTTCCTCAGACTAGATGCCTCTGAGTCCTTAGTCAAATCAATCTCAGCTGAGCTGTTGCTCAAAAGTCTGAAAGCTTAACCAGACTCTAGTTCCTGGTTTTCACGCCTTATATACCTTTCTGCTTTCTGACATCACTTCCTGGGATTAAAGGCTCGTGTTGCCATGCCTGGATGTTTCCAGTGTGGTTTTAAACTCACAGAGATCCAAGCGGATCTCTGCCTCTGGAATGCTAGGATTAAAGGTGTGTGTGCCACCATTTTCTGGCCTCTATATCTAGTGGCTGTTCTGTTCTCTGACCCCAGATAAGTTTATTAGGGTGCACAATTTTGGGGGGAACACAATATCACCACAAAAGGGACACTGCAATATATGTCAATGACCTCAATGTTACCTTATGGAGTACCTTGGAAAGTGATACAAAATTAATGAGAATTCAAGAAGAAAAGGATGATTTCCTAGAAACAAGTGAACAATTCAAACTTCTATGTCATAAAACCAGGCCAAGCAATAAGCAAGTGCTGAGACTGATATGGTCAGAGATTCCTCTAACAGTGCCTGAGGACTGGACAGACTCAGCACTGAATTCTTTGAAAGGACACTAGAAAAGGACACCATTTGGAACATGTGGCTATGGTGGGCCTTGCCCTTTTCTCCCATTCCTTCTGCCTTGCTAAAAACCATTAGATTACATCCCCAAAGTTAGCCACCAAGGTCTATTCCTTTATTTGGCCACTTCATCCTCCTGAGGTTTTCTTCCAAGGTCCAGGTATGGAAGCACTGAATCAACAATCAGAAGCCCCCTTTGGTTCACCTAATAAACACGCCCAATTAATATTAAACATCGCATTTCATCATGGGGTTTCCTCTCTTTACCTTTATAAACTGCCATTTGCCTATGTGCCATCTCTACATCCCGTTTATCCAGAGGCAGTCCTATGTCCCTCCAGGACAAATATCCCTGTCCTTTTACCCTTGACCCCTTCCCCTTCTCCCTCATCCTCTATCTTTTTACCACTGCATCCTAGCCCATTCTAACACAGAGTTCTCCTTTTTCTCTTTTGAAGAATTCCACCTGCAAGGTCATTTGCTGCCCTTTTCTGCATGAGTCAAAAAGCAGTCATTTTAATTTTTCTTTCCTGCTTAATAAAAGATTTGTGAAAAAAAAGTTTTTGGGGGTGGTGTGTGCCTAATGTGGGCCCAGTAGGGAGTCCCTGCTGTGCAGGGGTCCCCTTCTTTAGCTAATTTCTTTACAAATGCCTATACTAATTCTCCATAGAAATATATTGCCAAAAATTGAAAAAAAGAAATGACAGACCGTCATCACTAAAAGCTGGCTTTACACTTATACAAATGGCAGATGAGAATGAAAAACATTTGCAAAGGAAAAATCACAGGCAAGTTGCAAGGATCGACATTGATGAAGAGATTCTCTCTAATGGATGTAGAAATGGAACTCAAGTTGATTTCAATCAAGGGATGCAAGAATGCTTCAACACCCACAAGCCAATCAATTCAAGACACAAAATATGTAGAGTCAGTGAGAGATGACACACAACCATGTCAGCATAACCATGAAAGGCCTGTGGAAAGGTATCACATTTGCCCACCATGTAAACACTGAAGAACATGAGAACAGAAGGAACATACCTCACCCTAATGAAGATAACAGCCAGAAAAACCCTGAATCTAATGTCACACAAAACAAAGAAAGCTGCCATCATTCTATTCTAATCAGAAGAGACAAGGGTGTCCACTACCTCCACACTAACTCAACACAGAGCATCAGTGCTTACAAAGAGCAAGAGACAGAGAAAATTTCCAATGTGTCAAATAAGAAAATTCAGAAGGCACAATTTCCCATATTACAAGGAACACAATTCTTTACTTCAAAAACTAAAAATATTCCCAGAGAAAGCTCAGGTCTGATATCCCTCTTAATAAGCTACATGAAAACCCAAGAAAATATCACTTGTGTTTCTACACTCCAACAGAATATGAGGAGAAGTCAGCAGACTACTCAATGTCTAAAACTGTCATAGACACCCTTCTGTAGCATTAAAACTGCCAAAAGTGCTCTGCAGGCTGCTGGGTGAGAAGAATCATCAGTGTCTGTCCCCAGATGCTGATCCCTTCTGCTGCAATACCAACCTGCCAGGCAAGGTATGCCTGTCAGCGTAATAGTGCCAAGACTATTTAGTAGTTAATAGAGGCTTTGGGGTTCAAACTGAAGTCAGCCTACAAACACACAGATGGCACTGGAAACTGGCAAATGGGCAATGACTGGAAAGATCACAGGCCCTGGGAGGGAATCTACTCCTGACATACTGCTACATGTAAAAATGCTGGGACTGCCTTTAAAAGATTCTGCTCACACAAGAGCCTGGTGCTGCTTTCAGCCTGACAGATAACTTGGTTTGCAACAGGAACATGTTACTTCAGAGACTGCTGAGTGCACAGCATGGGAGTGAAAAATCTTTATTTCCATATCCAAGTCTCAAGACTGTAATAGCTGGAGAAAGGGGAGTGACTTATAGAGAAAACATACTGTCACAAATCATTCCATTCACTGATCCTGTGTGTGTGAGCCTTGCACACACACACACACACACACACACACACACACACACACACACGCACACTCACACACACACACACACACAAGAAAGTATGTTTCCTGGATCACAGCTGGGTGCCTGCTTCCCTTGGTTTCCTAAAATAGTGCCATAAAGTGAAGACAGTTTTCTGTGTAACCAAATACTATCTGATTAAATTTTTGGCTAGTTCCAGAGAAGGAAATATGTGAAATACACCAGAACCATGGCCAAGAGCCTACAACTAGAAGGATGACATGGGAGGGAATCCACTCATGACATAACGTTTTGCTACATGGACAAATACTCAAACTGACTTTACCTGGTCCTGTTCACAATATAGTTTGTTACTATTTCAGCCTATATCAGAGAATCTTTGTATGTAATGGGCAATGTTTATTTCAGGGACTCCTAACTGGACACATACAGAGAATGTATGACTTCTGACTGCACAGCCATAGAGGAAATCCATATGACCTGGTTCAAATCCCAGGGAATACAACAGAAGAGAGGACAGATTGTGTTAGCAGAATAGGGAGGTAATCTACGAAACACTCACTACATTGAATACACTTCACAAAAAGTAGTCAGGCGAAAACTAGTTTCCATGGAAGCACAAAAAGTTTGAGTATACAGAGCAGCCCCAGGTACATAAAGCAGAGTTGAGTTATCCGAACTGTGATTCCAGATGATACTGCAGAGCCACACGGCCACTAGAACATGGAAGTGTCAGAAGAGTAGATATACAGCCCTATGCAAGAGAGCAGAAGATCCAGAAACAGCACAACAGTTGTTGTGATTGTGTGTGTTGTGTGACCATGTGATTGTCATCACAATGACGCAAAGGCATCCTTGTCAACCAAAGGTTGACAACCAAAGATGTTGGGAAAAGGATCTATCCAGACAAAAGATATGAATCTGGGTTGATTCTCCCCACTATCCACTGAATCACTGACCTTCGTCTATGCTGGAAGAGTAAACTGATAAAATAGGTAGGTGTAATTAAAACATACACAGAAAACATAAAAATCAAAAGTATGAAGAAATAGCCTACAGAACAGATAAAATGTATTAGGTAGCTTTTCATGGTATGATAGGTTAATAACCAGAATATATCATAAATGAAAGAAAAAACAACAAAAAAATAATAATCACTTCAGTGAGGAAGCAAAATATTTCAGTAGATTGTGCTAAAAAGCAGTTATAATGGCCAATAAGAACACACATAAAATGCTCCACACTCATAGCCATGAAAAAATACTCACCTAATATGCACTAAATCCCCCCTCTGTCAAGTCAGTAGCCACACTGAAGGACTTCTATAACAACAAATCCTGCAGAAAACACAAATAAAGAAATCAGACACATGATATTAGTAGAAATCCAACTTATTGCAGCCACCAGGCAAGTCAATGTAGAGCTCCTTCAACAACCATACAAGCAAAAAAAAAAAATCATGTAAGATTCAACTATATCACACATGGTCCTGTATGAAATGACTAAATATAGTACATTCTTGCAAAAACAAATTACTCACTGATCAATATGTATGTGAATAGAAAAATCAGATGGAAAACAGAAAATACATATATGACAAGAACACTGACACATAGATTTTATGTTCTTATCCAAATATAGGAACACAATTGAAAAGGGACTTTCTCCTAGGCAAGAATTCTAAGCAATTCATTTCAACAGGGGAATGGGGAACTTCTGCAACATAGAAAAAATTATCCTAATTTCATATGAAATTTCGAGAAAGCAGAGTTCAAAAACCTTCAGAAGGGCAAAACAAGATTTCAAAATCTATTAAAATTATACCAATAAGAACACTGAGTGTCGGTTTTCAGAATGATGACAGGTGACATCAATGTAAAGACAATTAAGACAGATATAAAACAATGCAGAGATACTAAGCAATTCTTATCAAAGTTTCTAAAGTATCATGTTAGGAAATGGGAAATGAGAGTATTAAAGGAATACAATCTACAGACACTAACAAAATGTCAAAAGCATGAGACCAGGAAACAAACCTAGAGGCACCAATTTTCCTAATTTTAATTAAAATGAAAGTAATGAAAATCATTTATATTGGTATGAAGACACAAAAGAAATATGAATAGTACAGAGATGTCATTACTCTCATTCACAGTCAGATAAATTATATTTTTCATAGGATTGATTCTTACATACAAAGCCAGTAACATATACAATAAAATAATCTAGAGATTATTTACAGTAGAATACTCTAGAGCAGGAGTTCTCAACCTGTGCATCCTGAGCCCTTGTAGGGTGGAGGTTCAAAAGACCCTTTCACAGGGTTGGCTAAGACCAGAGGAAAACACATTATCTCTAATGGTCTTAGGAACTGAAGCATACATAGCTCCTCTATCCATCTCCATGTGAGTCTGACTACATACGGATATGCCCACATACAAGCCACTTGGAACTAAATATAAATGTTGCAGCATTAAGAAGGTTGAGAACCACTACTCTAGAATCATTTCTAGAGAAACAGAATGTGGCAAAAGCAATCTCATGTCTCATTCGCATGTTCATTATTTTAATTTTTTAAATAAAAAATTTAATAAAAATAATAATAATAAAAAGATTCTGTGTTTCTGCTTATAATTATCAGTGTTTTGTAGCATATATGTTAGTGCTCTGTGTTTGTGCCTGGTGTGAATTAAGGTAAGAAAAAGACATCAGATCTCTGATACTAAAGTCATGGATGGCTGTCAGCCTCTCCGTGTGTACAGGAAACTGGACCCATGTCCTTTTCTAGACAAGCAGGGACATTAACTGCTGACCTCCAATCCATTTCCATTGTCTTTAGAACCTCTCAACACATCTATCTTAATATCTCCAAAATATCTGGTATATTTGGTACTATTTCATTTCTATCCGCCTTGCAGGTATCCAGGTAATGCATAAGCAGTCTGGTTTATCAGTGAAACTGTACCAAAGAAAGAGATTCCTAAGAAAGCTCCTGGATTTCAGTCACAGTATTGTGTTCAATAGAAAAAGAGAAAGCAATGTCAAGGATTCTACAAATGAGTCCCCAGATCTTATGCAGCGTCAGAATACTGAAAACACTTAGGGACCATTTTCAGTTGCCATAACTTGAGTCCCACCATTTCTAATCACAAAACACAAGGGTAGAAATGGAACTGAATGTATAGTACTGACACATTACTATACATCACTGTGTTTCTGAATTTGTCATTGAACAAAAATGGAAGACTAACAACTCCCAAAAAGACAAACATGAAGAACATATCATGCAAATCATTTTTGGAATGCCTTTGATGCTGAGGAGTAACCAGGTCCCATGCTTGAGGAGCTGCAACCACCAGGCTCCACCCTGAGAACATCCTAACTGCCCTAAATGCCAGACACAGGCCCTCCAGATAATGGCAGCCAAGTTTTGCCCTACAGAGGAAAAAGCCCAAGTTCAGGACTTAAAAACCCACCAATTCTCTACCATGGAAAACTCCACTATGGATCTCTCCACCCCCAAGAAGCATTATGTAACTCTTGTCTTCTGCTCAGTTCTCTACTACTTCTTGCCCAAACAGAGGCAGATGTCCTCTTGAGTTTTTCCCTTGGGGAAAAAAATCTTTTATGTGAGGTTTGTTGTGTGGTATGACTGTGGTATTCCTTGATTCCCAACTACCATGATACCTTTCCCTTCAGAGCTGTGACATTTGCATTGGGTAAAACTTCCCCATGGGAACAGAGCTGTAACACTTCCACTGGGGGAACCATTCTCCCTCAGGACTGTTAGATTTCCACAGGGGAAGCCTTTCCACTCAGAGCTGTAATATTTATACTTCTCTCCTCTGAGGATTTCACTTCCCTCGGTGAGATGTGAGATTCATTCACACAAAGCTCACACATTTTTCCCTGGAATCCAAAGGAGAAGCAATGGAGACTAGGAGAAAACTATTCTCATACACAGCAATTCCAGCACATCTAATCTCTGCACAAAGTAGGCTGAGTGGATTCAAGCATTGAGTCCTGAGAGCAGTCCACAGTCCCAGCCCTGACTGTAAACAAATCATGAAATTAAAATTAAAAGGAGGGAGTGTTTGAGCCATCTATGTTCCTGCCCTGCTTTAATCACAGCATGCAGAAGGCAGAGGCAGGCAGATCCCTTGGGGGACCAGGTTGGTGTACATGGTGAGATCTGAGCCAGACATGGCAAAAGAACGATATACTTATTCAACAAAATAAAGCCAAAACCAAAAAGCACCAGGCCAATTTGGTCATGTGATATGGGAAGAGTGCTTATCATGGAACGTGGAATAATTGGAGTCAATTTTTGTCACACAGTTGAGTAATAAGAATTATTTAAAAGATGATCTCTAATTTTGTCCTAAACTATAGTGCATCTTATAACTGTAAAAACAGTATGGCCTGTGCTCTCACAGGATGCATATATATTGCACTTTTCCAGACTATGGTATAATATTAAGCATTAAGCATATTAAAACACATTTCTAAATGTTGTGTTTACGTGTAAGCATGAATAAGTCCTAGATGGAAAATTAACTGGAGAAAAAAAGTGTGCTTAGTAGATGCTAATGGTTACAATCATAGCTTTAAAGCTTGCTGAAATATACTTCCTGGTTCACTAAAACCTGCAGTGGCTCCTCAGGTGACTAATATCTAAGAAGCTCTCTGGGATTGCCCAATCTCCTTGAAGAAAGGACACTTTTGAATAGGCAAGTGGTAAAACAGGGGAGTTGGAATAAATGGATGAGTTTAAATGCCAGGAGCTTTGGAATTGCCACAACAGCGAAAAGAATCATGTGTGCAAAAAATAGAAAATGAAAAATCTCTACCCGATCATGCTTCTATAAATATGCTGGGAATCACAAGATGAAGGCAAAGGTCAGGGGAAGCCACAATTCCCATCATCTAAAATTTACTGACAGGATTAAGATATTCACAGCATAATGTATTTTTATGAGTAATAGCAGAGACACAACCACACCCTTGTTCCCGTTCCTGCCTGTTTCCCAGAACTGAAGCTCCTGTGACTTGGGAAGTTCCTGGGCTGCTGAGATGACAGCTGTGGTCGCCACCCTGCCCAGCTGAATGGTCACTTTCCCAGGGCACCCCATGGATCTCTGCTGCTGTGATAGGAGTTGTTTGTTCATGGCACTGTAGCACTCAGGGCTGTGATGTAATTACAGCACAGACATAGCTGATCTGGTTTCCACATGTGTCACATGGATGTCACTGTAGAACTGATTCCATGGAAGCTGGGACTGCACGCAAAAAAACCTGCACATGATTAACCCAGCTCAAAGCCCAGCAGGGGTGAAAGGGATCATCACACCACTACCTGAGATATGATAGGTAACTCTTGGCCTTTGAAGAGGCAGAGTCAGTCTTCTTCAGAGATGTGGCTCATGTACATACAGCTAGCCTATCATGAACTCAGTACTTTTAAAAAATTGTGAATTTAAAGATGTGAAGAAGCATTATGGGAGTGGGTAATTACAACTGAGGAATAGGAGGTAAATTTGATCAAACACATGATATATACATGAGCAAAATTTGCAAAACAATAAAAAAATCAATACATATCACTGACTTGACATTTATTTCTTCAGCTTGGCCATTTGAAGTCACATATCCAGGCTCCACATTTACTCTCACACTAGCAGTGACACCTCCATAGTCTTTCCTGGAGAACTAAGGACACTTACTTTCTTAGAGTGTCAGCTCATGACAAACAGTGACATAGAAGTGGAGTGACAAAGATACACTGGAAGTCCTGGCAGCAGTAGGTGCTGGTTGTAAAATCATTTGTCCATAGTTATGTAGCTGAGAGCCAACAAGCATAAGAACAAGTCAGTCTGAAATAGTATGTAAAAAGATATCAGAAAAGTTGTGTAGAAATTAATGAGATAGAGACTCAAAGGCAATACAATGAGTCAAGCAACAGATTTCTTTCTGTGAAGACACAAAAGTACAAATGAAGTATTTTTCACCTAACCCAAACTAAAAAAAAAATGAATCCCCAAGTAATAGAACTAGTTGAAAATAGGACACTGCACTGTATGCCAATGACATCAGAGTCACCTTATAGAGTGCTGTGGACGGTCACATGCAAAGATACTGGAACTGAAGAAGAAAAGGATGACCTCATAGAAACAAGTGAACAATTCACCCTTCTAAGTTATAAAACTAGAAAAGGCATTAAGCAAAGATGAAACTGAAGCAGGAAAAAATTCCTCTTAACAGTGTCTGAGGACTGGAAAGATTCAGTATAGAATTCTCCTTTCCTTTAGACAAAACTTACACTAATACCAGAAGGAGA